CCTTTAAATACAGACTGTTTTAATATAATACAACTGTTTGGTTGGCGATACTACAAAACAGATTTCAGTACTTCAGTAGGTTGGTATATTAACATTATATCAGTTAATGATATTAAGGTATTTAACTGTAAATTTAAGTTAAAACCGTAAAACCTAAAACGTTGCTACCGTATTTTTTACGGTAAAATTCCGGTAACCACAGCTGCCGTTTTTTTACCGTAAATTTTACGGAATTTTTTTTACAGTGTTGATATACTTGCTTACTTGTTGTTTTCTGCTTCACTGCTATCCATCCAGCCTGTAAATAAACTCTATAAAACTTACCTGTTTCCTCATCGTGGGCTCCTTCTGTTTTTTGACAGATATATTATGATAGGATTATTTTCTTTCATGGTGTTCTCCTGTTCAAAATGTACAGTAAGTGGCGCTTCCCGTTGGATGTGTGGAATGTAAAGTATAGTTGAGCCAAAAATGAAAATTCTGTCATTATTTATTCACCCTCAAGTTGTTCCCAGTGTTGCCAATTGTTGTAACCCGAAAACACAAAATACAATGCGTAATTAAAAATGCAGGTACAAAAACCTGTGAAAAACTCAATCCAGAAAATTCTTTTATATTAACACAGTAGATTGTGCATTATTTTTTTACTTTTCTTAGAGTGCAGCATACTAACTAACTACTAATAAACCGCTTTAAAGTATAAAACTTAAATTGTAATAGTTTTAAAAATGTGTACGTTTTCGATAATTCAATGGATTTAAAAATAGTTATTTATATTTTAATATTATATTATGCATTTATATTGCTACGAACAAATCTAAATTAACATATATAAAATATATATATGTTTTTGCTGAGATTTGACACAATTTTGCATCGTGATTACGTAATGACGTCATCACGCAATGTCATCACAACATCATTTAGCAACTTTTAGCAACAAATCAACCTTCCTTTAGCAACTTCCCCTGAAAATTAGTTGGCAGCATTGGTTGTTCCACACCTGCATACATTTTTTTTAATTCTGTTAACGACTTCCTTTGACTTCCATAGTATGGAAAAAAAAATACTATAGAAGTCAATGGCTACACTGTAAAAAATGACTGTGAATTTAATGGTAAAAGACTGTAAAAATGCTACAGTAAAAACCTGTTAAATGGTTAACGGTAAATTCCCCTATATACGGTTAAAAACTGTATTGGACATTACATGTATTGGACATAAATTTTACGGTAGTATACCGTTTTTGGAAGTGAAAAATACCGTATAATTTACAGTGAATAACCATAAATTTACATTCCCAGAATTCCCTGCGTTACATTTCAAATTTGATGTTGTATTGTTGAAATAACTATGTTCCTTCTTAGATTTTTCTTATCAGTTTTGTATATCAGGGTTGTGTGTTACACCTAATGTTGTTAAATGAATGTTTATTGCATTATTTCAGTGTCATGTGTGTTACCATGATGGTGTTTGGTGTTTGTGTGAATGACACTGTGCACCTTCTATATATGTTAATATTTAAAAGCTGCTTGTGATGGGCTTTGGTTCATCGTGTGACTTTCTCATCACCTCCTGCATTTGGTGGTTATCAGTGTATTACAAAGCTACAAAACAGATTTCAGTACTTCAGTAGGTTGGTATATTAACATTATATCAGTTAATGAAATTACGGTATTTAACTGTAAATTTAAGTTAAAACCGTAAAACCTAAAATGTTGCTACCGTATTTTTTACGGTAAAATTCCGGTAACCACAGCTGCCGGTTTTTTACCATAAATTTTACGGATTTTTTTTTTTTACAGTGTACAGTGTTTGGTTGAGGGTAAATTAATGATGACAGAATTTTCATCTTTTTGGTGAACTATACCCTTAAGTCAAGTTTCAGGCAGGTTAACTATGTAAAGACTGCTTGAGATATGTTTTTATTTTTTTTAGCATGATTTTGATTTCTGAAGTAAGCCTGTAAAGTTAGGCTAATAGCCTATGTGGCTTTAATATCTGGCAATAGGCTACAACATCTCTGAACATCTTGTTATCTTTATAAAAACCCTAATGATGATTAAGATGTCTTCTGGCAAATGTAAAATGGCAGAATTCACAAATAAATGCTTTTGCACAGACATCCATGTGACTATATGCAAGAACACATAATGAACTGCTATACACCAAGCTGAATGTGTATCATTAGACTACAGTAAAAGGTACACACAGTAGTTTTTGTTTATGTTGCGCTGGGGTGTTTACGACATAAACTGAATAGTTTGTCGGCGGTCACGTGATAGCGACTCGCGCCATTTAAAATTAAACAGACGTTTATAGCCTTTATCTCATGTGAGTGTGATTTAAAGATACTTTTTTAAAGCTAGTAATTTATTTAGGGTTAAAACATTTAAATGAGACAAAAATAACTGAGTGTGCCGTTTTTAACTGCAATTCTCAAATTTTTTTTACATGAATATAGACTGTTGCACACTATGCCACTAGACAGGTGTCTACGGTAAGAATCGCAGCATCCTCCTCTCCTACACAAGCCTTTTAAGTACTATACGAAGCCTACACGTAACCTTGACACTGGTTACGACAGTATACCAGTGCAAAAAGTGTGGAGGTGAGAGAGAACATTAATAGGCGTCTGTACTTTATGTACCATCTTTTGTACCACGCTGTACTATTTTGCACCGTCTGAGAGCATCAGCTTATTACATGTGGCTCTTTAGATTACATGTGCCACCGATGAGCACGTGCAGCACCCCGTTTTAAAAGCAAAAAAGAGCAAGTAAGCATTTCATCAGTTCAAGTTCAGGCTTATCTCTGTGCAATGTTACAGCAGCTTTCACTAGTGCGAGTTGTAGCCAGTACAATGGCGCCATCTACTGTTCACAACAGACAAAACGCTGGCTGAGAAGGCCAAGATGTCCTATTCATCATATTATGAAGGTGCCAAAACATTCAACATTCAAATCTATTTCCCAGCATCTCCTTGTTTACATGGAATATACATGTCTGCAGAAACGTGACAGACTGAGTAATGATGTGGTAAGGCAGTTGAGCAGAAGGTTTTAGAGAAAAAAAGCTATGATGGATGAAACTATTCAATACGTTATTTGCACTGCTGTTTGTGTAGAATTTTACGTTTGAATGCTAATGAACTTTCTTTCATTTTCTTTGTGGAGTTTGTCCTTATTCAGTAAATTGGACACATAGACGTGAAATAATAAAAGTGTCAAGCTACTTTCCATGGATTATTGAAGTTCCCAAATACATTTGAAGATTGATTTTAGATTTAAACGTGCAGTCTGATTTCAGAGTCTATATGGGATGTTGAAGTCCTGGTGGCATTTAGAGCTTTGCAGGAGTACATTATTAAATTGGACATCTTGAGACTAGTGAAGGGTGGCAGCAATATATGACAGAACAGAGTGGGGAATAAAAGGGTCATGATGATTCGATAAACCACTGTTATTTTATTTCATATTGTAGCTGATTATCAGTAGTGATGGAGAGTTTTGTAGCCAAACAACAACCTGGTCTTTACATTTGTCACATTGTTATTATATTCACATAGTAGTTTTAATACAATGGTATCATTTAAAATTATTAAAATGTATAATGTAGGCTACAGATGCTGATTTATTGTCCTTTGTGGTTATTTTATATAGAGATATAAACCATGTTTTTTTATATATATATGTCAAAAGAAGAATTTCATATGTTAGATTATAGGCTATTATTTAATGTTATTTTTAGAATTTCATATTCTTGCATAGTGTTATATATAATAGATTTTATAAGATTTTTGTGTGTGTGTGTGTGTGTGTGTGTGTGTGTGTGACATGATATGTAATTTTTTTTCCCACTGTTTTCATGTGACAACGAGATGGCTTCCTGACTATTGGTTACACTGATTTTGATTTGGCAAACAAAAGTTTTTTATATATTAACAATATATATATATATTTTTAAAATGGTTTAAATAAACAATTCTAAAAGATTATGGTAAATGATTTAGGCTATACCAACATTTTCAGGATTGGTGGCCTTTTAAAGTAACTTTTTACAGTCCCGGGACTGATACGGGTATTTATATATTTTTTTATGTAACATTTTACAGTTTATTTCAGAAACTGAAAACACATTAATATTAGGAAATGTGAATTCAAGTCATCCTTTGCATCACAAAATGTCATGAAAAAAGGAGTGTCACGTCATAAACCCTTATGCAAGAAAATCTCATTTAAAAACTACATATGGTTTTGTAAGGGATATACATTTTAATGGCAGTAGAATATAATTTTTTTTAAAGAATATTTTATACAATTATTAATATTGGGGAAGTTCAAGTATACATGAAATGAGCTTTTTGCTTTCATTATTCTATGACTTTAAACAAAGCTGTAGGCCTAGTGCGGTGTATAAATGTAAAAGGTGAAATTCTGTTAGAGCATTTAATATGTTTTTATGTTTTTATTAACCTGTAATATTGGTAGATACTTTAAGCAGCACCTTTTCCTTATTTTATTACAGTCTGGCACTTTTCATGTATGCATATTGTGTGCATAATTTAACCAGTTATATTTACTGTATATTTGAAATAGATATTTTGTGTTTGTTTATAGCAATATTCATATATAATCAACATGCTAATAAAAAAAACGTATTTTGCTGTCTGTGAGTATAAATGCATGAGTTTGAGTGAGTTAGACTGCCACTTCTATTCTCCAGATGAGTTTCGCCGAGTTTACATCCGGGTTTTTCCCTAGGCAATGGGAGACGCACTACCGCTGTTCCTTAGGCAAAGTGAAATAAATTCGCCGCACCGTCACAAAAAATAGTCCTCTTCCCAAACACGTTTTGAGGTAACTCCACGTCCACTTTTACACCAAGCGCGCGCACTTTTACAGTAATCGCGATGTTTCTGAATCGTTTGGATGGATGTTTGGGGTATTTGTGCTTTTTGACGGCTACTTTTCCTGCCCCCTTCGTCTCCCTCTTCCTGCGCGGATGAATCGTCGGGTGCTGCGGCTGTGGTGAATGAGATTGAAGAAGAGTTCTTGTTTTGTATCTCAGTTTCTCTCTTTTTTACACACACAAATTAAAATTAAACAAACAAAAAATAAGCTCGGTAACCCAGCTAAATTCAGCCCAGAGCAGCACTACAGCTATGTGAGGGACCGGATCGGACCGAGAGCTCGGAGTGTTTGTAAATATTTATTTAAATAATTTGTGGGGAGAGAGAGAGGCACTACTGCTCAAGTGAGTAGAGGAGGGTAAGTGCACCTTGGGATCTTTTTTTTTATTATTGCAACTTTTATGCGCCTCGTTTTTCGACTTTAATCGTTCAGAGACTCTTCGTCGCTTTTCCGAATCCAAACCCCGTCGCGATTGGGTAGGTAGAGAAGTCAGGATCCCGATGATTTTGGAGCAGAATTTCCGCTTATTTCTAGGAGTTGAGTGGTGTATTTCTAAGTGCAGCGCGTGAGTCGAACGTTCCGCGCGTTTTGTTATTTTGTAACATTTTAAACTTCGCTGGATACATTGCTGCCTCAACGGTTGATTCCAGCTCAGTGGAAACAGTGTATCCGATGGCAGCAGGGGGGATAAAAGAGGGTCGAATGAAGATCTTTTGCTCATGCATGGCTTGAATTAGTGGTTGCGGCTCAGTCGAGTCCATCTAACTGTAATTTGTGCTGTTGGCCTGTTAGCTTTAGCAGAGTTAGCCGTAGCACAATATGAAAGCTCCTTATATCCAGCAGCAGGTTTGTAAAAAAAGATTCACTCCTATTTTGGTAGTTTTAAACGCTTTTAGTGCCTGGGCTTGTAGTGGGTGGGTGATAAAGTGAAGCTTTTTAAAGCACTGCGATTTTGTTGTGTGTTTAGAAAGTGCTTTTTTAATGTTGCTCTCTTTTTTTGGGGTTGGAGGAGGCTGAGTGAAAAAGAAACTCGCAACGCTTTTACTCTCATATTGTAGTGGCTCAAACATGCATTCCTCCGTTTTGTGAATCTTTGTGAAAGTATGCTGTCGGTAAACACTCTGGGCATCATCTTCCGTGTTTCCCAGAGGTTTATAATAGTGGCCTAATCAAAGTGCTGCTTAACTTTTCCTGTCACTTGCACATCCCTGATCAGATGTACAGAACTACAGGCCGGTTTCATGTATAGCTCAGGATCATTTGGGGTCTAAATGCAGCTTAACTGTCTGTCAAGAGTGTTTTTGCACACTATTGTAGTTTTGCAGGTGGCATATTAAAGCATTTGGAGTTTATCTGAGATGTGATGTGGGAACAGTTTGTCTTTCATAGTCTTTGTTGGATCATTTTGTAAAGCCTTACAGGTTTAGGATCAATTCATTTGAGTTTTCAACTGATTGATGATATTTGTCAAACTTTAGTAAAGTGTGGATCCTTTTCTTTGTTATTGTTATTGATTCACTTTTTTATCTACTTTGTTTTCTGCTCATGTTTTACTTCCATTGTTTATATTTTGAACTCGCTGTTGATATTTCTCATGTTTGTGGAACTTTTCAAATGCGTTTACACCCTCTTCTGACATGTTGAGCTCTTTCTTTAGGTTTTGTTTTCCTTATCCAGGTAGTTTCACTTTTAATGTTTGTAGTACTGTGGCAATCAAATCTTTGGGGTATTTATGATTCCATCTACCAATGTGCGTGATAGATATAATGCCTTTATAATACTCCTAAACTACATTGAAATATCCACAGGAGTTTTGTTGTTGATGCCAGTCATGAATATCAAGCAATTATGCAAAACAAAACGTACTGGCTTATGTAACATGACACTGGAAGTATTTCAGTCCTATAACTTGTGTCCTGCCAGGTGTAGTTGTGATATTCTGTTACCTCATCCAGGCCTGGATACTATTTATAAAGGACAATAATTCACATTACCCTTATTTCGTCTATTTGTAGCTGTCTTATATCAGTGACAGTTTGCTTAAGTAAAGTATATTTGTTCCCCGCACTCAGATGGATCAGTTGTTAATAGTTGAATTAAAGTAATTTCAGTGTTTGTCTGTTGTTACATTTATAGGTATTCGTTTAAATATGAAAATGCTTTAATAATATGTTGTTATACAATGTACCTGATTGATTACAGTAATATGTTATTTTAGCTTATTCTCACTTTTATGTAATTCATATTGCTTTTTTACCTTTTAAAATACGAGGTACATTATATATTCGGCAAACCACAACTAAAAGTTTTATTCTGGAATGCAGTTTTGATCTGGGCTGGTTGTATAGTTTAACAAAGAACCTTTCAACAGGTCACCGAAAACTTTACAGAGACACAAAAAGTCCCGTGTTACTGTACCGTATAGCTTTCCTGTTGCAAATAAGAGCCTAATTTGAATTGTAAACTCAAAAGTAAATATATAAATATTTCATTATACAAATGCTTAGTATATTTAATATCCAGGGTTTTAAGACACCCTTTTTAAGATGTTAGCTAATGCTTTCTAAAAGCTGGCCAGCATCATGATTCAACATAAATCTCTTTTATGGCATCCATGACAAAATACCTAATGAGATCATTTTTTCCAGCTATTTCAGGGGAAGTTGCCTCTAAACTAAGTTTCATGAGTTGAATAGGGATATTATTATGATTACTATAATTATTATTATTTTACTAATTCTTACATGGTGCTATTCTTACGTGGTTAACTATAATTATTAATAATATAAGTTTCAAGTTTCCTTAAATTATTACAGAGACTTAGTAAAGGTTTTGGATTGTGATTTTTATAATTTAGTATTTATTTTTGGTAATGTTTATATATAATGCATTTTTTTCTGGTAGTTTGCAGCTTTTGTCTTTTAGCTAGTTAACGTTCAAGAATTATGACTTAATATATTATGAATATAGACAGCGTGCTTTTAAAAGACATACATGATCCACTTCCGTTTTCATAATCACTCTCAATTTTTATGGGCACCCAAGCTGACACGGTTCTCTTCCTAAAGTTCCAGTGATCGTACTATTTAGTTGTGTGTTATTATAGACTTTATTTGATCAAAGACCAGCAGAGTGACTCATACACTTGTCGATTTGAGAGGGTGTCGTTTCCTGTGCATTGTAGGCTGAAGGTCCTGAGATACCCGTCTGCCGTGTGGTCATGACAGATGTCATCGCTGGCGAGTACAGGCTTCGCTTAATATCTCAGAACTCCATTTGGCAGGACGGCACAAAGGACAAATCCGATGCTTGAGTTTTGAAGAAGATATTTTTAGGTCCGCGAAGATGCCGGGAGATGCACAAGGATGCAGGACTTTTTTGTCGTGGGGTTCAAAGACGGGATGAGCAATTACAAGCCCGCTGAATGCTGCGCTTGCAATGTTGCCCCTTTTTACACGGACCGTAAGAGAGAGAGAGGGAATTGGAGTGTCTCCCCCCCCATCTAATAGGGTGTGTGTGTGTGTGTGTGTGTTTCAACTTGTGCAGGGAGTTGGAGAGAGCGCGTGAACACCAGTCTCAGTGCCAGCTGGTAAGTCCTCTAATAGACTCTTGTTATAATTGTCCTCTTGGCACAGGGCCGCACACCAAAATCAATGAGAGTGAATGAATGTCTGTAACACTGCCTCGGTTTCGCTCACTGTTACACTAAGCATCGAGGTTGTTCCGATTCGTCCGACGACAGGCGAACAGTCCTGCCCATCTTTTCGATTGTCACAAATTTTTATCCTCCGCCAACCCCAGTTTTCCCAGAAAATTGCTTTTCAACAAGACCCTCCATTGAGTTTTTATTTCTCCTCTTAGTCCCGTTTCGCCAAAATACTTTTTTGAACTTAAACAAGAGGTGTCGCTCCGGGAATACGAGCTGAATAAAGCGTGTCTGTTTACTACCACCTGAGACATCATGAATCACGGCTCGATTTAGAGAAGTGCAGTTTTCCCTCAAACCACATTAGATACCAACTCGTGTTCCCCCTCGTGGTGGTATTGGATTAAGTCAACCGCCGAACATCTTGCAAAATTATGGTTAAATATATAAAATAGAAAAAAAAGTCTGCAAAACCTCTCTTGTTTGATTTCTCTAGACAGGCTGAAAGTTTCCTGGGACTTTCTGGCGAACTGGATCAATGATGGAATTGCAAACATTACAGGAGGCCCTGAAAGTGGAAATACAAGTCCATCAGGTAGGAGATCTCGCAAATGGGCCTCTAATCAGTTAAATCAAGTGGGGAAAACAGTGCTGAAGTGTCTCTGTACTTTCAGTACATGAGACCTAAAATCACAATCCGATGCTGGAAAGCACCTTCGTTGTTTTACAGATGATTCAAATGATTTGGGAGTCTCCAGGTCCTCTATTGCGATTGGTGATAAATGAAGATATGTTTCTCTTCTTGTCCCTCGCAGTCAGAGGCGGCGTGTCCCAGCAGGCAGAAAATTAGTCGAGCTGTCTGAGTGGGATAAGAGAAAGACAAAAAGACAGGGAGGGAGGGGACGGAGAGAAAGGAGGAGAATCAGGGTCATACTGGGCAGATAAAGCGTTAGCCATTACTTCAATTTTAACAAATCATCTCAAGCAGGTGTTCTTTTACATACTGGAGGCTTTTTTTGTGCCGTCGTCTGGTTTTGTCTTCATATTGCTTGGAATATTTGACAGGCAGGTGGAAGTGGAATTTTTGCCTCATCCGGGGCAACTGAACGGGTTGTGTTGTGGGCTCGCATGACTCACTGTTGCCTACTGGTGGACTGCAGAAACTTTGAAGAAACATAAAACCGCCCCTGGGCTTTAAAAAAAAAATTTAAACTGGTGCAAAATGTCTCATATTTGTTGTAATGTGACTGTATATTTGGAAAGGCCCTTAGATGTACCCTGTAAAAAAAAAAAAGGATATCCTGCCAGAAAATTGTCAGTACCTTTTTTTTGTTGTTGTTAAGTTTATGGATATTTCCTTAAGCCCCAAAACAACGCAATGCACAACACCTGTGAAAACAGAAAATCTATCTAATATTAGACATTTCTATTACCTGATGTTATAGATGCTAATTTTAGTTAATAGCACATGTCCTGAAATATAATTTGGGCAACTCATTATACTCTCCCCTATCTTTTTCACTTCTTAATATATTTGCCTCTAGAAGATTGATGTTATAGCAAGTGGATCAACTCATCAACTGAAATTGATAAGTTTCATATAAATTACACTTGGTCATTGCAAATGTAAAATGTTTGTTCCAAATGAACACATTAAATGGTGTCTCCACAAACCGTTGTGAACTGGAGAACAGTTACTCTTACAGAAAGCCGTTGGCAGGCTGCCTGCTGCTCTGTCTGCTTTTGTTTGAAAGTGAGGCAGGTGCAATAGGCTGTAGTTTCACATGTGGACTGTAGATGGCAGACAACGTCTGTAATTCCCTTCAAAACTGTTGGCATAAGTTTTGACTGCAAATTCTTGTCTTCTCTTCTGTTGCCATAGAAACTTGTTGCCCAAATGAAGCAGGATCCACAGGTAAATATTCTTAATGACGTTGCTCTTCAGAAATAATCCTCTGCTTTGTTTGAGAACTTTAACATTACTGATGGCTGTGTATTATATTTTCTATACTATTAAGGCAGCTTGGTGGTGTGTATAAATATTTTATTAAACAAAGGTTGAGCAAATCAGAATTTATATGTTTCCAGGTATTTGTTCAGATATGACACAAGCTCATAGTTTCAAAAATAAGTGATTCTTAATAAATCTGCAAAAATGTCAACAATTCTGTGTTTTTCTGTCAATATGGGGTGCTGTGTGTACATTAATGAGGAAAAAAAATTAACTTAAATGATTTTAGCAAATGGCTGCAATATAACAGAGTGAAAAATTTAAGGGGGTCTGAATACTTTCTGTACCCACTGTATCTTTGCTCTGTTTTTTCATAGAACGCAGATCTGAAGAAACAACTTCACGAACTCCAAGCGAAAATCACGGCTCTGAGTGAGAAACAGGTAAGAACTTTCACAGGCGTTGTGACGTCATTCACTGCTTCAGGTGCTGAAACAAATGTTTTTAAATAGTGAAACACATTAATTAAATGTTGTCAGTGAGCAATGAGCAAAGGTTGACTGTGTGATATTGGAGTTTTAAAAAAAACTCTGCGTGACTTCATTAGGCTCATTTACGTAATGTCATGAACTAATGCTACAGATCGAAAAGCAAACAATATGCTCATATTGTACAATTTATGATATGTATTTTAACCTGCTGTTGCTGACAAAGAATTGATGGGAAATGTAGTTTTGTTTAGTAAAATATGATTTAATTTCAAGCAACACCACAAAAACACCAGCGTGTTTCAGCACATTTGTTTGTCCAGGTCAATTTGTGTTTACTGAAGCAATTTTTGATTTGTTTGCTTCAAATTTGTCTTATTGATTTCCTGAAGTGGCTGTTGGATCTTGTGGGAATTTTAGTTTTTAATGACAATGACAGCGGAAATAAGCAAAGACTGATCTATTTAATTGTTTTGCGGTTGAGAAAAGAGCAGCCAGCAGGACAGGCCTGGGTCTATGCATTTAACAACTGTAGCAGAAGAGTAATACATGCAGCCCGCTGTGGGCTTGTCTCGTCTCCTGCTGAGAGGTGGAAACACTCCAGATTGTCAGAGAGCTTGAGATTGCACTTATTCAGTCGCTTCTTGAAAAGTCTGAATTTTTAGCACAGCTGTTTTGGGGCAATGTTTCATCAATGTTCAATGTTTTCATATCTCTCTTCCTACTCTTGAAATTCTCCAGTTAGTTTCATCAAAGAATTGTCCCAGTTTACTGACTCGCAGATCGCTGGCTTAGTTTTGAGCTTTTATCCTGAGAGAGAGAGAGAGAGAGGGAAAGAATAGATCAGTATAAGTACACATGATTTGATTTTTTTTTTTTTAACTCTTCTCAAATGTGGAGGGCAAATATTGTATATGTGTGTAGCCTTAGTCAATCCAGACAAGGATTAGAGCACGAGATAATGAAACAGTACAGTGAATGCTAATTCAGTTCTCTCACGAAATCAGTCTAGTTCACATTTCACCTGATAATGTGTGTATATATAATATACTTTTAATTTGATTTAAAAGATGTAATTCAGTCTCAGACTTATGGATTCATACTGTATTTTTTTTTTCAATCAAAACATTTATGTACTTAGTTTATGCTAATTATATATATGTATATATATATATACGTAGAATTTTTTTTTTTTTATACACGCGCACATATTTTTAAATTTTAACTCTTCTCAAATGTGGAGGGCAAATATTGTATATGTGTGTAGCCTTAGTCAATCCAGACAAGGATTAGAGCACGAGATAATGAAACAGTACAGTGAATGCTAATTCAGTTCTCTCACGAAATCAGTCTAGTTCACATTTCACCTGATAATGTGTGTATATATAATATACTTTTAATTTGATTTAAAAGATGTAATTCAGTCTCAGACTTATGGATTCATACTGTATTTTTTTTTTCAATCAAAACATTTATGTACTTAGTTTATGCTAATTATATATATGTATATATATATACATATAATTTTTTTTTTTTTATACACGCGCACATATTTTTAAATAAATATGATTAAATCAGTATAACATTTGCGATCATGCTGATATTTGGAGAAAAAATGGCACTCTGTGTGATATTAATTATTGATTATATATAATGTATAGAGACTGTATTTGTAAGTCACTGTATTATGATTAAGTGAAACTAAAATAACAGCATAAAAACTTTTGTTATTTGAAATAAATGTTAACTGAAATAAGATATAAAAACCTTTTTATTTCAGCACAAAAACACAAAATAAAATTATTTTAAATAACTACAACTAAAATGAAAATGGAAAATATGTAATTATTATAATTAAAAATGTCAAAATATTAATTAAAATTATAATAATATTTCAATGATACTATTCATTATATTTGTAATATTCATTAAAAATAACATGCGTATTACAATAGGGATTTTTTAAAAATGTTCTCAGGTCGTAAGGTTGATTCTTACTCAATTCTGTCGGCTGTGAATACAGTTTGTCTGCCTTTTTAATCTCAGTTCCATTCATATGAATTCTATATAACTCTTTCCGCATCATGAATTTATATTTATGTGATTTTAGCCTCGATGTGAGGCCCTCAGCTGACACGGTGGTCTGTTGCATATGTAAACTTTCTGCTTGTGAGTCTAAAGCCGTTACTATGTGATTGATCATCCGCTTAAAGAGAAAAATAGTTTTGTCAAAATTCATTTTGAGGAAGAGACTTTCATTTGATGTTGTGCTTAGCAAGGGCTTTGTTGAAGAATGTGTGTGTGTGTGTTTGCACTCTCAGAGGTGCGCTTTGGCTCCAGAGGACTCTGAGGCAGCAGAGTGTGTGAGATGAATTTCAATCACGTTTTTCTCTGCGTATATGTATGTGTGGGCCTTTATAAAAGCATTTCCAGTGTTGTTAAGATGGTCTCGCACCTGAAGGGTCTTTTAAGGCTGACTGAATAAAAGCCACGGCTTAGCTTCACACCCAGAACAAAGAAAACCAGGGAATTCGGTGACTAATAATCTATTATTAGAAACTGCTGCAGCCAGATATAAACAGAACATTGAAAAGACAAGAT